ACGGTTAAGATAAAAGTTATTGAAATCTAATGATATAAAAAGACTTCTTTATAGATACAGAATTTTCCTATTCTATATCATAGTTTTACCCCTATAACAAATCTGCATGACTTGGTTTTTGAGCAAAATTTATTCTTTTGATATACTTTTTCTTTTTTGGAATTGGTAATAATGAAAATACTCAAGAAATCTTTAATGGTTGTAGTGGTTTCTTGAGCAAAATTCTATATTTTTCAATTTTTCGCGATTATAAATTGATTGTTTCTTGAACATTTTAATTTTCTACTTTCAAATGAGGCAAAAATTTAAAAATTTAATGTACCAAACAATAAAAAGAAACATCAAGTTTTTTACACTATAAGTGTAACAAGAATCCTTTTTGACAAATAACATTGCTCCATTTTGGGAACTTACCCATTTTTTGAGCCATCAAAAAAGGTATGAAACTTTTTTCATCAATTTTAATTTTGATGCTTCATATGTGTGTTAAAATATTTAATTTTTTTATTTATCTATAAGGAGTAGTTTAAATGGTAAGATATGTTTAAGTTCAGTCGATGATTTTTGCACGATTAGGGAGGTTTGATATGTGAAAAACACTTATAAGGAACGACGACTACAAACTGAAAATAAGATTTTTTTTTTTTTTTTTTTTACCTCAAAATATATCGAGACACTCATGAGTGAACCAAAAAAATATGTAATTTTTCTCAAATTTTTCTATATCGTCAAACCACTACCATTACTTGTAAAAGTGTTGCCATACATAAAAAGCTCCATTGCTTAAGATTATTTTTTAGGTTAATTTGGTTCCAATTAAGGATGGGAGCAGGGTAGGTTTTCCTTGGTACTCTGTTTCGTTTAATTCTATTTGAAACAAGCTTAAGATGGATCCTGAAATTAGATTTACTATCCATTACAGAATTGAGTATAGATTTAAGAACTTGGGTATGCACTATCCAAAACCTATAAATGAATGTCATTATATTGAATTTTTAATATACATATGTAGTTCTTAAGATAAATTTTAATTTTTGTTAGATTTTCTACAAATTGTTTATAGATTTATTATGAATTTGAAATTTATTCTTAATTTTTAAAAATATTTTTACTAGTTTTACTTATATTAAATAGACTTGTTTGGTAACTTTTAACGTAGAGTTTAATGTTTTAACTAAAATTAATACACGTTCTGCTTTTTGCAATATACAGGTGGCGTATGGCTTATACTAATAATTAGACTTTAAAGGAGCGGATTATGAAACGTTACTCCTTTTAATATTTGATAAACTGTTAGTAAAATAATCGATGAGAACTACTATAACAGTTAACAACTATTAAAATAACTAATTTTGTAGAATATTGTTTTAAGTCACATAATGAACAAGCAATTTATGGTGGATTTACCTCAGATCTGTTTACATATCTGAGTTGTTATCGCTCATATATTGGAACTTATTATTGCCCGTATATTGAGATTTTGTCCTCAAATCTAGTTCTGAGTTATTGTTATTATCATTATGGTGATTTTGTCTAGCGTATTTTATTATTTAGATAGTTATTTTATTATTGTAGTTCTGAGTTATTGTTATTATCATTATGGTGATTTTGTCTAGCGTATTTTATTATTTAGATAGTTATGCAGAAAGAAGTGCATATCTCTTCTCCAATAAAAGGAAGAAATTTGGAAGTAATCAGATCGTACTTGTAGAAAGACCATGGAGTGGAACAGTGACTATGAATAGCCACCAAGTGGAACAAGCAATCGCCTGTGACACAAATATTATGCTCTGTCAACTCGATCAGATACTTCAAATCAATATTGTGTTTTTTTATTCTTTGTATAGGTGATTTATTATTAAGCTTCCTATACAAAAATATAGAAACATATTGATCTGTATATCAAATTTGTATACAGTTTCTAATTAATGAAATTCTACTTTGATTTTTTATCAAAAAAAAAATAATGGTGGATTTAGGATGAATATAAATAATGAATGAGGTATTTTCAAAGAGTATAACTAAATATGAATAGTTCAAAATTTACAAATATCATAATATTTTAAAGGATTTGAGATGTACAAAGACTGTGAAATAATTAACGGGGTTTGGTTATAGGCATTTGAAAAGAAATTTTAAATAAATTTAGCACACGAAGAATGTTAATTTTAAACGGATTTGAGTATCCATCCCATTTTCAAATAACCAATGGTACTTTCAATTCAACGACTCTAATATTATTGAGTTAAAACTAAGAATGAAAATGAATGTAGTACCCGTGAATTTTGAACTATCCATCTAAACCCATTCAAAAATTTTAATCCATATCCTCATCTCAAATCCATTTAAAGGGTAAAATTACAATGCAGAATCCTAAGCATTTTGTATCCACACAGAATGGTTAGTAGCCATTGGATTTTACTTCTTAAATTTTGTCCATTAGATGATAAAATGAAATGGAAACCACTTACCTATTTTATAAGTAAACAACTCATATTTAATTTAAAAGTAAAAATAATTTTTTAACTTTTATTAAATGTTTATACTCTAAAACTATTTTCATCAATTTAATTTTTTAAAAGTTTACACCTTACTTAAAACATATATATAATTTGAATAATATTTTATTATCATGACTGCATGTCATCAAATTATTTTTATAAATGATAAATTTCTTGTTAGTCCAAATGCTTGTATTAATGCTCTGTTTATTAGTTATTAATCTTTTCCAAAAAAATTTAAATACTTTAATTACTAATTTTAATGACCAAAAGCCACAATATATAAATTTATAATTAAAACTTTCATAATTCTATTTAAGTAAGACTATTACTTTTAAATTGTATGTAAATTTTTATAATAGTCTATTTATAAATCTTTAATATTTCTAGATATTCTATTGATACATTTCAAATACTCAAAATATACCCATGTTTTATAATATATAGTCTTAATATGACGGAAAAAAATTATTTATATATTTTAATATACCTAAATATTTAAAATTTAATTTTTGTAATTTTCAATATATCATTTCTAGCTAATTACATTTCATTTGCACTAATAAAAGATTACTTATAAAACTTATTATCTTTAACAAATTATTATGAATTTTGATTATTTCTAGATTAAAAAATAATGTGAAAAAATACTTTTAATATTAGTTTAAGAGGGAAACTCTTTTTTTTTTTTTTCTAAAGAAAAAATTATATTTTAATTTAGAGGAAAAAAGTAGAAAAGCCTGCAAGATTGACATTATATATATATGTGTGTGTGTGAGAAACCATTTTTGCAAATATTTTATAGCAAAAAAATTCATAATATTGAAAAGGAAGATTTTTATGTTAATGAAATTTGAATTTTAGATATGTACCCTTAAATAATCTTATAGTTGTTACTGGATTTTAGGATGAGAAAAGAATTTTTGATTTTCAATATATATTGAAGTATTATATATTTTATCATTTAAAAAGAAATGAGGGTTATAACTAAAAAAGAAAAAGAAATAAGGAAAAAAAAGGTACAACTAAGAAATATGTAAAAAAGAAAAGAAAAGAAAAGAAAAAAAAAAAAAAGCCAACTTGTTGCAACAAATTTATGTGGATACATATCAGGAAAATTACGCTCTTTATCAATACAGATTTTTCAATATTTATAAAGTCGCTGATAAACAGTAGTGGTGTTCTACGATGGCTGATGGTCGATGGCGATGGGTGGTGGTGAACAGTGACTGATAATAGTAGATACCAGTGATTAATAGATTACAAAATATGAATTTATAAAGTTATAATAAGTTTGTCAATGTTTGAAAAATGTTTTCTTCTCTTGGAAATGAAAAGTTATTTTCCTTAAAAATAGCTTAGTTTTTTTTTTTACCAAGAAAATATTTTCTGTTGATTTATTTTTCTAAACACCCTAAATAACAGAAAATTGTAAAAAACATTTTCTTGCAAATTATCTTACAGAAATAAATGGAACGTTAAAGTCAAACACCATTAATTGTCTCATGAAATATAAAATATCTTTTATTGTATATACGTGTGAGAAACTAGATAACTGTCATATATAGTGAGTACATAACCAAAAGATACCTAGCAAGCCTTTTGTTTTGCTAGTAAATATTTGGTTTGTTGATGAGCATTTATAGGCCAAGTTGAGCACCATTCTTGTTCTTGAGAAGCTCATTTTCAATGCTCATTAAAATCAAATCCTAAATTGGCAGACAAATAATAAGGACTAGATTTAAATAATATTTTTCTAGCTTTGATTAGCAACTACACAAAGAAAACACAACTAGCTCAACTTGTGCAAAAATGGTATCAAAATGTCTGCACGCGCACACCCTAAACAAACATTATTAAAGACAGTACGATTCTTCTGATTTAAAAAATATAACTAGTTAGTTTGTGTTTTAGGAATAGACTAAAATTTTCTTACTATGTACTTCCATCAGACTATAAGATTTTTCCATCTAATTTTTATATATTTTCTGTTAAGTGCTATATGACTGACGAAAATATTCTTTTTATCTTTTTTCACCTTTAGTATATTTTTAAAAACACAGAGATGGAATAGTTATTTTCTCAAACTGCAATGATCATGCTGTAATTTTTTTAGTATAAAAATAAATCTCTTTTTTGACCTCTGTGTTTTCTTGTTGACTTAAAGGAGAAAAACACAAAAATAAAAAAAAAAGACCTAATAATGTTACATCAGTAAAATATTGAGATAAATTAATATATTTTAAAAATACATGTACAAATTAGTTGTATTTCAAATCAGTACTGCAATTTTTCCAATGAACTATAACTAGGTAATGCTGAAGTCATTTTTTTTTTTTTTTTGAAAGTAAATAAGATCATATATTTATAATAAATCATGAGAAATAAGATCTGCAATACATTGGTTTTTTTTTTTTTTTTTTTTTGAAAGTAAATAAGATCATATATTTATAATAAATCATGAGAAATAAGATCTGCAATACATTGGAGAGTCGAGTCTCATAGACGGAAACAAGGATGTAAACATGTCATACGAGCAAGAGCATGTGCAGGCATGTTACCTTGCCTCTGAACCCAAACCAATTCACTAGATGATATTTGAGAAAGCAGTTGTTTAATCTCTTCTAGCACTGGTGCCCAATCAGAATAAGAATCAAAACCAGTAGTGACAGCTTGAAACAGTCGCAGGCAATCTGTTTCCACCAGAACCCTATCAATAGATCTCGTGAGCATCCAAGATAAAACCTCCCTAAGGCCGATGGCCTTAAGGCCGATGCCTCTGCATGTGAAGGTTTAGCACCCCTCAAAATGATGACCCGTGCAAGCTACCAAGAACTGTCCAACTTCATTTCGGATAAGGCCAGCATACGATGAACGACCCTCAGTCATATGGACAGCTGCATCAACGTTAGACTTTACAACCCCAGTCGGAGGAGGAGCCCATGTCGGAACTAGAGCCGACGATACAGAGGAATTGCTTCGATCAATCTGCATGTTATTCCATTCTCTAAGAAAGCTGGTAGCTGCCATGACAACGTTGTAGGGAGCAATATTAGTTTGTTGCCAAACCCACCGGTTTCTGTCAAACCAGATAAAGTAGCACAACATACCGAATAACAAGCACTGATCATCAATGCGCCGATCAATAAACCCCAATAGAGTATCACTAAAATTAGTGGCTGATCCGTCCAACAGAATCCCTGTTAATGTCCAACACAGTCGAGCTTTCTCACAAAGGAATAGCATATGCATTGTTGTCTCAATTTCGCCGCGGTAATCCGCTTGCCAAATAGTATAGATTTTGTTGGTAGAATATACGACACGCTCGCCACAGCCAGTGCTTAACCTTCGGTGGGGAATCTAATTGCCATAATTTGGCCCAAATTGGCGAAGTTGCAGTTGCTTCAGATTCCACAAAATTAGGCAGGACAAGTTTGTAGCCTGATTTAACAAGATATTCCCCTAAAGTAGAGAAGTTCCATATTAGTGTATCTGCCTGGCTAGCCCTAGTAAACGGGATGGATAGAACCAGTGACACCTCCTCTGGAAGGAACAGTCCGGTAATTAAATCCACATTCCAACCATTAAACATCCTTAGATTTCCTACTGACATGTTCTCAGAACTAGGGACAACAGGGCTACGTGGGTAGAAATCATTATCATTTGGTAACCACGGGTCATGCCAAATGTTAACGCTTGAACCGTTGCCAATTCTTCATCTATACCCTCTTTTGAGAAGTGACTTATTGTCTTCATCTATACCCTCTTTTTGAGAAGTGACTTAGCCGAGACTGCTCTCATATAAGGCTGGGATTATCCCTAACAAAACGTTCCCCCCGGAAAAAAAATATTTTGGCTCTGAGAAACGACATAGAAGAGCTGAATTCGGGCTTCGGTTGACAAGTCGCCCAAATCTGTTACCAACTAGGCTGCAATGTTAAAGGAGTAGAGATGTCGGAAGCCAAGGCCGCCAAAGTCTTTCCACGCACATATCGGTCCCAACAGAGCCCATTGAATGCCTTCCACTTGGACCCGGTACCCACCAAAAAATCATAATTCTTTGCAGTTCGCACAGAAGGAATAGGAGAGGAAAGTACTCATCGCATAAGTGGAATCGTCTGAGCTACGTTTTTAATTCAGTACTCCTTCCCGCCTTAGAAAGGAGTCTGTGGCTCCATCGAGAAAATGGCTTCTCAATCTATCTCGGAGACAAGGAGAAGACCGAACTTCTTGTTTCGTCCAACTAGGGAAGGAATCCTAGGTATCTGCCATGGTTTAAGGGTTGAGCGAGATCGTGCAAAATATTGATAATGCTGCTCTTAACTCGAGACTTCCGTACATAGAGTTGCAAAATATTGATAATCTGCTCTTTAATCGAGACTTCCACATTAGAGCTGAAAAAAATCCCCGATTTTTGCAAATTCACACCCTGTCCTGATGCTGCTTCATACTGTTTTAAGATATCTGCATGAGTATATGGATGGCTATATGAGTTTTCAAGTTTATATCCTAACTTTCTATGATGTTTCCTTACAAGACATTGGTTAACTTTGGTGCTCCCACCGTATATTTTTAGCTTTCTTTGTTTACACGAATCTCCTAGTTTTCGTATGAACAAATAGAAAAAGTAGACTTTATACCGTGAGCGCAAACTAATTCATAATTACATTTTAAATTGGAAAACAACTTACATATTGATAAGATCCATTACACTCAATAGTAATCGGAGCACGTGTTAATTGGGGTGTACGCAGCTTTAATTCTTGTAAGTATAAAGCTGAGAATATATATTCTTATCACCCGAACGGACCGGAAGAATCATTTAGTTTACATAAATTTCAGATATTGTTAGTATAAATAACATGAAATTATGAAACTATGTCTCAATATATAAGTCATTTAAGATTTTGCATGGAAACTAAAAAGTAATTAATCCTAAATTAGGCTAACTCATTAAAAAAAATTCCAAATTTTGCTGGTATTTTAATTGTATCCTAAATTTAACTTTGTTCTCCAAATGTCCTAAACTTCAACTTTAGTTATAGAAACAACCTAATTTCAAATGGCTAAATATATAAATTGTCCCTTGAACTTACGCAAAAAAGTCTTATCGCCCTTTATAATTTAAAAATGACTTGTGGCCTCCTAAATTTATTTTTTTCTAATAATTGCATGCTTGACCAGAGTGATAAATAAGTTGTGCACCATGCGCGGATGACATGGAAAATTAGCATTCCAAGTGGCAAATAATTTTGCCACGTTGAATCTCATGCTGGAAAAAGAGGACTTTTTTAATTTTTTTTTCATTTGTATATTCTTTTAATTTGAAAGGTTGATGTATGTCCATAATTTAATTAATTAATAAATTAATACTTTTATTAATAATTCATTAATAATTTTAAAACTCATTTACTGTTCTTCCACCATCAACACATGAATCTTTATTTTAATTTTACACAATTTCTTTTAATTTTAAAACTCATTAATTAGTAAATTAATACTCTTATTAATAATTCACTATTAATTGTAAAAATAAAATATTTTATTAGTTAAAAACATTAAAAAAAATTATATTCTATGTATGATATAAATTGAGCTTTTTAATCATTTTAGTGTAAAATTTGATTTGAAATTATATACAAAAAAAATTGCCAAATTCATGACTCAAAATTGAACGTTATATCATTATTATATGTGAGAGAGAGTGTGGGGTTTCCCAATTAAAAGAAATTTTGTCATCCACACTTGGACCCTTCTCAATTTGCAACAACATTGTCAGAGACTAAATTAACTATGTTTCGGCAAAAAAATAAAAAAAATTTCTTTTCACCAACTTATTGTTAGCCTCTAATAATCTCTCTCTCAAAATCTGTACTATAAATATGAGTCATCAAATATCTCCTACACAAAAAAACTTAGAACATCATAAGCTATGGAAGCCAAAGAGGAGAAAGCTTCATCAACTAACAATGGAGATGCTATAAACTATAGAGGAGTTAAAGCTATGCCATTTATCATAGGTTTGTGTAATTAAACTATATGTATTTTTTTTTTAAATACCCATTTTCTAATTTTGTTTGATTTTGGAAAAAAATGTGATTAATTAATTAATTAATTAATTAATTGCAGGAAATGAGACATTTGAGAAGCTAGGGACTATTGGGACTTTATCAAATTTATTGGTCTATCTTACTCATGTTTTTAACATGAAGAACTTAACTGCTACTTTGCTTATCAATATCTTCAATGGCACATCCAATGTAGCACCATTAGTTGGAGCTTTTCTTTCTGATTCCTACTTCGGACGCTACAAAATTCTGGCTTTTTCTTCTATTTGTTCTTTTCTGGTAAGTGTATATACGATCTGATAATAGTTACAGGTTCAAATCCCATTTTCTCGATACTTAAAGATTAATTCATCTCTTAATAATTAATCCACTTAGTTTGTGGAATCAATTTTGGTTTTTTTGTTTAATTTTTATTTCAAAATTGTTATAAAAAACTCAATTTGCTTTCTTCTCGGTCTACTAAGTTGTTACCTTTGCTTCTTTGTAATCGGGCAGGAATGACTTAAGGTTCTTGAATTTTTTTCCGGTTCTTTCTATGAGTTTTGCTCCTTTTTTTTTGTACCTAAAAAGAAAAAAAAAAAATTGTATTATATGAAATTAGTGCAATATACATAATGAATGACGAACTATTAATTAATGCCTAACAACAATGGCCAGAGCTAGTTTCCTTGACAAGGGAATCATTAAGGATAAGGGCCAAAAGGGAACTAAAAAGTATAATTTAAGAATAAAATATAATTTTTAAAATTTTGAGGGGTGAACACAATTTTTATTTCAATATAAAGAAATTAATGATGTTAACAAAATTTATAACTATATAAGCAAAAATACAGAAATTCAACGGCATAATTAGGAGTACCATTTGATTAACATAGTAAATTAGACTTTTTTTTTTTTCCTTTTAGGCACATGTTTGACGTTTCAGTTTAATTACCACTAGTTCTAAACTCGCGCGATGCGCAGATTGTATAATTTTTTGTTTTTTAATTAAATTGAATGTAATTTTCAAAAAAATTATTTTAATTTATATTTGTGTTGCTTTAATTTAAATAATTCACTTATATACTTTTAATTAAATAATGGAAGGTAAAATTATAGGTTCTTTTTTAAATATTAAATATTGAATTGAAATATTAATTAGCACAATTAATTATTGTAAGCAAATTATTATTATTCAATTTATATATTTACTTAATTATTTTTTTTCTCTTTGAAATTCTCATATATTTAAATTAAATGAATTATAAGAATATTTAATCTTAATGAAATAAAAATTAAATGAATTATAAGACAATTTAAGTCTTAATGTGAAAATAATATTTAGTGCTTTGAAATTAGATATTTTTAATTCTATTTGTTAACTAATTTTATTATTAATTAATTTTATTAATTATGACTCTATTATAAGCTCCATAAGTTTTTTATAGAATAAAAAATATTTAATACAACAAAAATTTATACTTATTAATATTAATTATAATGAACATCTTATAGTTTAATTGTAACCCATTTATTTAATAAAGAACTTAAATTTTTATTTAATATAAAAAATATTAATTTATAAATTTAATTTTTATTTAAATATAAAAAATATTAATTATAATGAATAAATAAAAATGTCATGTCATCACTTTCATATTTTAATATGTTGCCACATACATTTAGGCATTAGAAATTATGTATTTATATAGATAAATATGGTACATTTAATAATTAACATATAATTATCATATAGTAATTTCAATATGGCGAAAACTACAAGAATACAAGAACTTCAAAATTTAATGCAGCAAAATTGTTTTTCAATTTCAAGACCTAAATCAGTCTTAACATGAATTTGATATTTTTTTTTACCCAAGATTTATATCATAAGTTCTACAAATAAACAAAGATCTTTAATAAGATTTCATTTTAATGTAATAAAGAAAATTTTCACCTCTTAATCAACGAGTGTTGAGATGAGTGGTTTAACGCTCTTTTTTCTTAAGTAAGGTCGAGGGTTTTAATTTGCCTGATCGGCTAGGACTATCTATAGTGATACCAAAAAATTTTCACCCTTTAATTATTTTTTTATCCTAAAAATTTCTCCAAGATAATGAAAGCCTTTAGTTTAAATGCACATAAATTTGCTGTAATTATATCCAAAATTTTGTAATACAATATCAAGATCTGAATTTCTGACTTCTTGCTCTCTGAACCCTCAAATAATCCATTTTTTGCTTTTCTTTAAGGGGATGACAACAATAACTTTGACAGCAGCAATACCCAAACTACACCCACCAAATTGTGTGGCAAAGGACTATACATGTGCTGGACCTACAACTTGGCAATTAGTGTTTCTTCTAAGTGGATTTGGATTTATAGTTCTTGGGGCTGGAGGTATTAGACCCTGTAACCTAGCATTTGGGGCTGACCAATTCAATCCGGCCACAGAATCTGGCAAGCAAGGCGTACAAAGCTTCTTTAATTGGTACTATTTCACTTTCACATTTGCTGTGATGATCTCTGCAAGTTTTATTGTCTATGTTCAAGTATGTAAGAGTTGGTCTATTGGACTCGCTATTCCTGCTTCGTTAATGCTGTTAGCTTGTCTACTTTTTTTCTTGGGCTCAAAACTTTATGTCAAGGTTACTCCTGAAGGGAGTCCCATGACTAGTGTGGTTCAAGTAGTTGCTGCTGCTATTAGAAAGAGAAGGTTAAAGCTTCCTCATAATCCTGATATGTGCCTTTTCAATTATATTTCAAGCAATTCTCTCAATTCTAGGCTTCTCCACACAGATCAGTTCGGGTAAAAGAAACCCTACTTTCACTTTTTCTTTCCATATATCTGTATTTTGAACCACTAACATGGTTACTATTGGAGTTGCAGTTGGCTTGACAAGGCTGCAATAATAAGTCCAGAAGACGAAATCGATTCCAATGGATCATCTACCAATCCATGGAAACTTTGTAGCATCCAACAAGTAGAAGAAGCAAAATGTGTAGTAAGAGTAATTCCAATATGGTTATCAGGAATAATTTATTTTCTTGCAATTATTCAACAACATACATTTGTTGTTCTACAAGCACTTCAATCTGATAGAAGACTTGGCAATAAGGGCTTTCAGATTCCTGCAGCTTCATTTGTGATCTTTACAATGCTAGGTCTTACAATTTGGATTCCTGTTTACGATAGAATCTTAGTTCCCTTTCTTCGAAAACTTACTAAAAATGAAGTCGGAATTACACTTCTTCAAAGAATGGGAATTGGACTTGTTCTTTCAATTCTTTGCATGCTTACTTCAGCTTTAGTTGAACAGCGAAGAAAGTACTTGGCATTTACAAAAATCCCATTAGGCGTTACGCATAAAGGATTATTAATATCAGCTATGTCTGCGTTCTGGTTCGTACCTCAATTGACACTTGCAGGATTAACTGAGGCATTTAGTTCAATTGGACAAACTGAATTCTATTACAACCAATTCCCAGAAAATATGAGGAGCATAGCAATGTCTCTCTTCTTTCTTTGTATCGCCTTTTCGAGTTATCTAAGTGGGTTTCTTATCTCATTAGTTCATCATATTACAAAAAGGACTAAAGGTGGAGATTGGCTGCATGAGGATCTTAATAAAGGGAAATTGGATCACTTCTATTATATAATTGCCGGTTTAGGAGTTGTTAACCTTTGCTACTTCCTTGTGATTTCTAAGTGGTATAGGTATAAAGGGAGCAATGAAAGTACAAGTGAGAAATATGATGAGAATTGATGCAAAGGAACTTGAAAAGCACTTTGTTTGAAGAAAGGGCAATGAGGGACTATAGTGGTATTAATAAAATATAGCATGTACCAATAAGGAAGCATATGTCAAAGAATATATATACATATGTATGTATAGTGATGGCTAGTCTCTTAACATATAAGCAAGAATATGATTATTGTATGTTTGAAAGCAATTAAGATTAGAATCAAATACAAAAAGAAGATACGAAACCTTTCTTTCCTTCACTTAAGTTCTAAGGTTCCATTTTCCATCAATGTTTTATACATAGTTAAATGATTATAAAATTTGCATTTGATGAGAAATAATTTTACATTATTCGATTATATGTAATGAGGACCTTGCCGCCAAACAAAGCCCATGTTCGGCAACTGTTTTTGAGCTAACTTTAATGTTTTAACTAAGTCAGAACTCTATTTCCATTGACATTCGGTAATATAGTTTTTATAATCTTTTAGAAATTGAGGTGCTTTTTATAAAATGTTAACACTTTAATGTTCGTTTTATAAAAATTAATTAAATTTTTTTACATAATTAAACATATAATATATTTTATTATCATTTTAAATTAAATGGCTAATTAAACAGTTATCTGTACTGAATACGTCCAATTTAAAATATCTAAAAATTAAATTAACAACTACTAAAATAATTAATATTATCAAAAAAAAAAAAAAAAAAAAAAAAAAAAAAAAAAAAAAAAAAAAAAAAAAAAAAAAAAACCCTAAGCGTGAACCCCCAATTACCCATGTTGACAAACAAAGCTTTTATTTTTCAATATTAAGAAATACTACAATATAACTTTGAGAAAATACTAATCACCATTGAACTACTAATTTACAATTTGATGAGAAAAAAAAAAAATTAACTAATTATAAATTGAGAATTGACCAGCCAGTCCTCTTAGTACTTAATGCCCATGTGAACTTTCTCCCCTTATAAAACGCCAAAACTTAAAACCAAAACTTAGCTGCCTTTTAGTGTCAAATCTCTTTCCGTTTACCAACTTCTCATTTGATAGTAAGAGCCAGAAAGAAAGAATAATGGGATCTCTCTTCTCTGCCCTTGCCGGAGACTCAGCCGCCGCTGCCGAAGACAACTCGGCCGATCACTCTGGAGTCACTACTTTCCACTCACCTGAGCGATGGCAGCTCCACTTCAATTCCGTCAAAGATTCATCGCAGCTAGTATACAAAATCTCTCTATTTCTCTCTATGTTTAATCATTGTTAGATATTGAAAAATCGAGATCTGTGATTTTTGATATTTTGGATTTTGGTCAATTTGGGAGCGTAGATGGTGATAGATTTTGCCGCTTCTTGGTGCGGGCCTTGTAAGCTAATGGAACCAGAAGTCAAAGGCATGGCTGTTAAGTTTACAGATGTGCAGTTCGTGAAGATTGATGTGGATGAATTGTCTGTATGTATTTTTCTTTTTTATTTTTTCTAAATTTAAGCTGAATTTTGGTTGTGGGATTAGTTTTTTTTTTTCATCAATTTGGTTTTTTTTTTTTTTTTTTTATAGGATGTGGCTCAGGAATTTGGAGTACAGGCTATGCCAACATTTGTGTTGGTGAAGAAAGGGAAGGAAGTGGATAGGATTGTTGGAGCTAGAAAAGATGAGCTCCAAAGGAAGATTGAGAAGCATAGAGCTCTTGTTGCTGCTACTTGAAGTTTTCTCCTTGTAAAAACTTTGACTATTACTCTTTTCCCTTGTGTTTAGTTAAACTGCTAATGTGTTGATAAACAATGTTTTTACCAATGTTGATTGTTGAATAATTGTGCACATCATTGAAATTGGAATTGTTATGTTCTTGTGGATAAAATTATGGGTTTCTTTTGTGAATTTTTTTTATTTTGAATTTGTTTTTAAATGGGTATATCTAATAAATCTTTGTGATGAAGGAGATGTTTGGTGCCTTGATTGTGATGGTGTTGGTGTGATAATAAGGTTAGTGGTGAAGCAAAAACTTGCTATAAATTTTTCCATTCTTCTTTGTGTTAGGTTTGGGATTGAGAATGATATGGACGTAATGAAATATTTCACTTTTAGTTCAGTTGCCAAAATGAATTGTAATCTCTATTTGTCTTCCTCCATAAATTGCCTATGATTTTTTTTTTTTTTTTTTGGGAAATGTGTTATTCTTGAACTTTTATACCTATTGTGTTCTTGAATTTAAGTTTGTAACCAATCAACCTAAATCATTTTGATTGTCAATGTGTGTTTTTCAGTTGAATATATTAAGGGATCACCACTAAATTTAGGCAACATGGCATTTTTAGACAATTTTGGAATTGCAAGAAATTTTTCTCACTACCTTATAATCTTATTCCATAAGTCTCCACAACTTGTTGAAATATATTAGTTTTTGAACATATTAACCAAGGTGTTTCATTCTTTAATAGATGCCATCCCAATTGAAAATGCATGATTTGATGATTTTGTTTATTTCAGTTAATTGGTCTGGAAATAAGAGTTGAGGCGTCATAGATTCTGATAAAAATTGAAGAATATATGGACTTTTTCCCAGAAAATTTCAAGGATTAATTTATGCATTAAGCCATTTTTATTTCAATACCCTGTTTATTTGGTGCTGATATGTTTGTTGAATAGTGACAATGGTAGCCATTGGGAGGTAATGATGGTGGATGGATTTTAGAATGTAATATCAATGGTTATTATTAAATTAATTTTAATATGTGAAATCCATGTAAACATCACCTTTTATTTTTTTTGTCAACTAAATATCCAATCTTTATTATATTGAAAAGATGCTAATAAGTTTATTCTTATTTTAGATTATATGAACAGAAGTGAGTTTATTTTTGTATTTTCTGAATACCTTAATTCTATGCCACGGGATGTTCCAACTAGACCTGGAAAATCCGTCAAACCGGGATCGGTGCAAAAACAGACGCACAATTTGCATCGATTCGGTCACAATTTTTTCTAAAATATGAAAATACGAAGGGTCAAAATTAAAGTAAAATTGACAAAAAAATCAAAAAAGAGTGAAATTGTAAAAATTTATAAAGTTCAAGTAATTTGATATATTAGGCTTATTAGTTAATACAGTATTAACTGCCTCTGACAATTGTGAATTTTACTTAAACCAACAAATTGCGTAGCCCCTGAATTAAACTTTCGATAAATATAACATCCATCCGACAAAAATAACATCCATCCCAACTAAACAATTGAAAATAGAAACTAATTCAATCAAGTTGAGTCAATTATTACCAACTAAATATAACTTGATTGACCTTCTCACGTCTTATCAAAAATGTTAAGTGAGAGCCAATTAATCTTAAGACTTCGCTCACACTTGTATTTTTGGTAAAGACAAGTACCCATGCTTGGTCACTGTGACCCTCTGCATTAGGAGGCACTTCTTTTCTTGAAGTTACTATACTATTTGATACGTATTATTTTTATATAATTTTTATTATGATTTTTAGTGTTTTTCTAATTACATTAATTTTTATTTTGATTTATTTATATTTTTAATTAAATTTCTTTGATTCTTGATAAGCTTGATTTGAAGAGTTTTTAGCAAGAAAATAGCCAAGTCAGTAAAGTACACAACTTGGCCTTGTCAGACCCACGGCCGTGTCTCTAAGAAAGCTGAAAATTCAAGTGGGCTAAATTTAATTATTTAGCCCATGTAGATTTACGGTCTGGGCGTGTCTTATGCATGGAGCTGTATAAAAATAATATAAAACTTACTTTATTTGAGTTCTAGCCTTATTTGGTTAAAGAAGACTCCTAATTGGAAGAAATATAATACAAAATTAAATTCCTACTCAAATAATATTTCTTCCTAATTAGGACAACTAATTCCTGCTCGGATTCAAAGACACCCTAGTCTATGTAAAGAGAAATTTCTATAGTAAAAGAAGATGGATTCACATCACATCCATTATTCCATATTCTTCTCTCTAAATCGTTTCTCTTTACAAGACTTCAAGCAATCAAGTTGGAGATCAAGATTCAAGGAAGGCTGCAAGTCAATTGTCAATTAGTTTTTATTTCTAAACTCTTATTCTTGTTTCTATTTTTCACTATTCATGTTGATTATAAGAATATTTACAAGTCTATTTGGGTTTAATTTATTTACTATGTCGAACTAAATTCATATACTAGGGATTTGATGTAGCTCAATTTCGATTTAAATTTATAATATTAGATTTATTTTTCTTGTTCATGATATAATTTATTATTGAACTTAATGCTTCCAGGCAGAATTTCTCTCTTGCGTTGATTTATTTCATTAATCACTATTGGGAGAAGGGTTTTTGATATGAAAAAGATAATAAATTATATGAGAATAATAACTTGATGCAGAAGCTATCTGATTTGACTCATGGAAGGTTTTCATAAGTTAACGAAACAAATTATAAAACTTAATGATTTAATTCATATTTGATTGCGTTATTGGAAGATAGGTAATTACACTGAGTTAAAATAGCTAAAAATACATCGAGAGAACTTGTTAGTGATTTTAGAGTTGTTTTCCCTACTTGAACAATTAAAATTGATTATCAAAATAATAAAATAAACAGGATAAAATTAAGTGAAGTCAAATCCCTAGTAGTTTTTAATTCTTGATTTCTCTTCATCAAATTGTCTTGCTTTTTAATTCTTGATTTCTTTTCATCAAATTGTATTGCTCGATTTCTTTTTAATCTCTTTTATTTCTTTTAATTTAATTTCTTAAAATAATTCCCCTTATTTTTGTTTAAATAATAATAGGTTCACATAATTTTGATACTTGATATACAATCCTCGTGAGAACGATACTCTACTCGCTCTTTATTACTTATTTGCGATTTTATACATTTACGAAAAAAGTCTATCACTATTTTGTCGAGATCTTTAGAGACTTATCTCGTATGCCTAATTATTCTCTATCTATCCCACCTGTGTCGATTTTAGAGCATAAATACCATTTTGTTGAAGGTCATTCAAACTTTAGTGAAAAGGAAAAGGTATAGATTTTATTAACCTTTTTTTTTTTTCAAGAAATTATTTAGGAAAATGAAACACATATCATAGAGAACAAATCTCTCTTCTTCCAATTTTATGTGTATTTGAAGCCATATTTTACAAGTTAACTATCTAACATTTGCAAATCCATTAAACTTAAACAAAGGACCTGAGAGGGAATATGGATTGATTACTTCAATATTTGACAGAAGCAGCAAAAATAGAGAGAGAGAATAAACTCACATAACAAAACAAATGATTTTGAGCAGCAAACAAACTATATCCAAGTAGTTTTGTATATATTGAGAAACTCTTGACCTAAAATATGATACATATCTGCTGGAGGATTATGATTTATATATTCAGAAGATAAATTACACATTTTACAATTATTCTCTTATGAAGTATAATGTACCTCAGAAGAAGCAAAATGGATCAATCAGAGTACATCAGACGGTGTAGGCTTGCTGAATTGTGTCGATATCCAGACCTTTCAGTCTTACTACTGACTCAACATGCCCTTTCAAGGTAGTTAATTCTCTGAACCTGCAAAAAAGTAATTAAAAAAAAAAAAACGGAAGGTAACTTCCTGCATTTTGACTACTAAAATTTCAATAGCTAAATAAGTGTTTATAGTTCTAAAGTAATCGAGTAGCGAAGTTCAGACCTACGATCTTTGATGAAACTGTTCAACTTTTGGAATAAAATGGTACTACCTTAAAAGATTACCTAATAACAAAATTTTGAAAAAAATACAATTATACCAAGACCCTTTAAATTAACTATTTTACCCTAAATTTGAAAATTTATTTACAATTATATCCATTACGTCGAAATTGCAATAACATGTAGTTCATTATATTTATAATTTTTTCCAACCACTCATCACCAAACTCAACTCTATCTAAAAACTCTTCATAAATCCCTCATTTAAGTGCAAAAGATGAAGGTGTAAGTTTAACCAAAATGATCATCAAATTAATAAACAAGCATGTACCTAGCAATCTCAGCTCGTCTTTTTGCCTCTTCAGCCATCTGGTTAAGTTCGTTGAAACTACCACGTTCATTGAACATCTTGGTATCAGGTGGGTGCAACCCATGCAGGGTCCTTTGTGCGTGTGCCCATTTAAGCTCACGTTCTTCCTTTCCGAAATCCTTCTTCCTTGTGAAGGCAATCTGCAGAACAGAAAATTTGACAGAAATAGTTAGCACTAAGAATTCATACATTGAAATAACTATTGAACTAGTGTCATTCGTACCCTTTGCTCAATGACTAGATCCCAAGCCTTCCCACTTAGGGCATATCGGGTGAAAAACTTGATAAAATCAAGTGGAAAATAGAAGATGAGGTTGTAGAGCCAGACCACACCAGCCCAACCCCACCCGATCCCTTCAATTGCAGCAAAGCTCCATTTTGCATAGACAGCTATTAGTGTAGCAATCTGCTCAAGAAAGAAAAACAAGCGAATGATATTTTGTAGAAATACCGGACTTACTTAGAAATGGAGCCTCAATCAACGTTTACTCACCAGCTGAGCAATAACAAAAGCAGCTACAAGTAAAAGGCCAGGACGCTCAACAAAAGACCAACTCCGAGCCCGAGTAACAAATATGAGGGCTTGACTAATGGTGCTCACTTGCAGGTAAATTGCTGAGGCAAGCTTTCTAAAGTCTTGCACATCTTTCTTTTGAAGGCTGGAAACCCCAAATGTTCGCTGAGAATTATAGCCCAACCGATAAGCATGAGATAAGGAACTTAACTAATTTATTATTCAATAAACAAATGAATGCAAAGAACATCACACAACTGAAAGCAGAGACAAAAACGGAAAAAAAAAAAAAAAAAAAAAAGTCCTTTTGAAAGGCTGGAAACCCAAAAGGTTCGCTGAGAATTATACCCAACCGTATAAGCTATGAGATAAGGAATTAACTAATTTATTATTCAAGTAAACAAATGAAATGAAAGAACATACACAAGCTGAAATGCAAGAGACAAAAACGAAAAAAAAAAAAAAAAAAAACATTCATTGTATCCTTTATAGTCAGAAAGTGGCATAATAAATACTTGATGGCAACAACATATGCGGTGGCCAATCAAGTTTTTTGGCTTTTGGAAAAAAAAAAAAAAAAAAAAAACATTCATTGATATCCTTATAGTCAGAAGTGCAAATAAAATCACTTGATGCAACCACATATGCGGTGCCAAATCAAGTTTTTTTGGCTTTTAGTGACATATTGAGGTTTCAGTTATCACCGTAAAGGATCGGAGTTGAAAAATTGTGAAATAATAAAAAATTAACTCCAAAAAGTTGGACGACTGATGTGATAGCCATAAACATTGTAAATCATTCAAAAGCAGCCACCCCAGCAATTTCTGCCTGTGCAGCGTAACAAGGAGGAGGAGAATGGACTTTGCATATAGAAAAACAATAGAAATTATAAATCTTGTCCATCTTTTTTGTATAATCTTCACGGAAGGAAAGTAAAAGATACAGCTCACAATCCGTTGGGATTGACTGTGACAAATTAGATACTAGTAAAATTCAGAAGGAGAAAAAGAAAAAAGAAGAAGATCACATTGTTTATCTTACAGGAAAGAAATCTGTCTTATATGCTGCCCAAAAGAAAATGACAGTCATCATAGCCAGGTAGCCACCAAGAATGATTCCAGTTGTAAAGATCTCTGCCAACTTCCAACTGTCAGGCTGAGGAGATGGTTTCACCCTATCCTTTGATATTGTCATAATTGTTCCTGCCATAGCAAGGATAAATATACATTCATGAAATACAGAGAAAAAAAAAAAAGTTGAAATCACAACATTAAGGAACAATAATGTGAATTTGAGTTGAGAATAAACAAACTTTTATTCTCTTTTCATATGACGATAAAATTTTATTGAAGAAAGAAAGAAAGGAAGGAAATATGATATGGAGGGTGAGGTATCCTTCTAAAGAACCCAACATTTCAACCACAAGCAAAACATAAAAGCAAGACTAGAAAAGTAAGTTGTCAACGGAGAGGTACAAACCATCATTCAGTATAGCAATAATCAGCACCATAAAGGGCGGGAAGTCAAACTTCCATATAAGTGCCAGTAACATGAAACCAAGCTGCCACAAATAAAGAAATCCAAGAATAAGCTAGCTACAGGGAGGAACCCAGAACAGTAATATTGGTCAGACTTTAATTACAACACCAGAAGTTCAACTTTAACAATTGAATTGAGTTAAGTAATGTCGTTTACATGTAAGTTTGTGAAGCCAACAACAAACAACTTACCACAATACGAATTGTTATAGAGACTGCATATATCTGCAATACAAAAAAAAGAAATAAACTATATTAGCAAGCCATACTATCTGAATTAGGTTCAAAAAGGTTCAAATAACAGATTCTGGATATATTTATCTGGGACTAAGGTTCTGTGAGAAAGAACAAGTAATTTTTTCTGAACCTAGACAGCCCTTACTGTGATAATTTCAGAACAATGAAAATCCTATAATGATTGAAATTTAGCTCACAGTGTAATTTTTCATTCTCTGGAAGATCGCTCGACTTGTTAGTACAGCACTAATGATGACACTGAGGCCAGGTTCTGTTAGGACAATATCAGAAGCACTACGAGCTGCATCAGTTGCATCGGCAACAGCTATTCCGATATCAGCCTTCTTAAGAGCAGGAGCATCATTTACTCCATCACCAGTCATTCCGCATATGTGCTTCCTAGCTTGCAAACGTTTCACAATCTCATATTTGTGCTCTACGCCAATGACAAAGAAGGCAAGTTAAATAAGCAAAAATATCAGACTGAAGGAAACCAAAAGCAATGCACAGTATATAGTCAAACAAAATTTATAGCGGGCACTAGCTTTGCTGGAAAACCATCACTGGTCTTAGGCTTCTCACTCAATATTATTTTTTAGTCCTGAACTATCAACCATTAATATTAAAATTCATTATATATACATATATCATTTAATGATAAAAGTAATACATGCAAATATGATTTTAAATAATTTATAAATTTACAAAAACTAAAAATTGATTAAATTCAATTCCAAGGAGAAGTATGATATTACCAGGGAAAACACCAGCAAATCCATCAGCTTTTTCAATAAGATCATCAACGGGTAAAGCACCAATTGACTCATCCTTGTTCTGTCCTAACAAGGCTGATGAAGGATACATGTTGGTTCCCATTCCCAGGCGGCGTCCTGTTTCCTTTGCTATTGCCAGTTGATCACCTATCGAAGATCCAAAGAAACAGGAAGACAAATTTCAATCAAAATTATCAACTGAACTATCATATAACCTCCAAATACAAACCCAAGAACCCAACAACTAAAAAATTGAGAAGTACCCAACGACAAATGGTAACTCAGAAAGTTGGAAACACACCTGTGATCATTTTTACATTTACCCCAAGATTCAATGCCCTTCGGATTGTCTCTGCACTATCATGTCTAGGAGGGTCAAATAGAGGCATGAGTCCAATAAATTGCCATGGACCTCCTGAGCTTTCCTTTCTTCCTTCAGGCACTTCCTGCACATAATTTATATTAATAGAGTAACTTTAACCAAGTTGATAGCATGACAAAAAGATAAATCGAATAGGTGACACTTTACCTGGTACGATACTGCAAGAGATCTTAAACCACGCTCTGCAAACTTATCAATCACTGCATGAACTCTACGTTCTATATCTGATTTGTTGCGTAGAAGATTCAGGATCTAATTATCAAACCATAAACATGAATAAGTTCAATATTGCATTGCGAAAACAGCAAAATGAAATACTTCAATGTTGCATTGCTGAAGGCCATACCTGCTCTGGTGCTCCTTTGCTGACCCGATGCATTTTGCCTTCACTATCAATATATGTCAAAGCTGTTCGCTTGTCTGTTGGGTTGAATGGAAGAAAGTGCACTTCTTGAATTCCAGCTCGTGCCTTTTCAGTAATCAGAATCCAAAACAAAGTTAAATAATAGAAGCCTTATCTCAGTTACTAATCCTCAAAGCAAAAGGTTGTACTTCATAAGTTTATGTGCAAAAACTAACATATTTTCTATCAATTTACCTCCTTTGGATCAGCCAACATGTTCACTATAGCAGCATCTATCGCATCCTGGTTTTCCACTCGAGAGGCTCTAGCTGCCATCAGAACAACAGCATCTGGGTTTACTCCTTTAGCAAATATCTGTGGATTTAAATCCAAGCAAAATGTTGGAACAGCAATCAAAAGATGCTAGTGGAATCATTATTTGCAGCAAGATGCAACCAACCTCAATCAGATTCTTATCAACGGTAAGTTTATTCAAGGTCAGAGTCCCAGTTTTATCACTGCAAAGGACATCCATGCCTGCCATTTCTTCTATTGCTGTCATTCGTTTTGTAATAGCTCCCTGCAATAATTAACAAAGATAACTTAACCACATACCACCAAGTTCACCATCTACCGAAGGTGATCATCTAAGACTAAAATGCTGCAATATCCATTATTACCAACCTGCTGAGATAACCGATGTGACCCTATTGCCATTGTCACAGATAAAACTGTGGGCATTGCAATAGGAATTCCTCCAATAAGAAGTACTAGTAAATTGTCAATTCCTGGACGATATTTCCGGTGTTGAATTGGGTACATGACAATTATTTCTATTATCATCCCGATGGCTATAGAGCATATACAGAAATTCCCAATAGCTGTCAATACCTGTTAAGCAAAAGCCATGTAAATAAAATAATAACAAATAAGAGGTATAAATCAGCATAAATGAAAGCACCTTCCTAGTTCATAATATCAGAAGCCATTCTATTTCTGATAGCCAAGTTGAACAAAAGATTTGGCACTCTTATCTCCTTACCTTTTGAAAGTGTCCCACTTGATTTGTTGTATCTACTAGGTGGGCAGCCTTTCCAAAGAATGTATGGACGCCTGTGGCAATGACCACAGCTTCAATCTCTCCTTGCTTGCATGTAGAACCCGAATAAACACTGTCACCAGGTCCTTTTGTCACAGGAAGAGACTCGCCGGTAAGAGCAGACTGCAGTCCAACATAAAAGAGGGCCAATTGTCCATTCAACTTTACCAAACTTAATTTTGCCAACAGAAAGAGAAAAGTTTAAAATTACCTGATCAATTTTCAATGGATCTCCTTCAAGAAGTCTTGCATCTGCAGGAATAATGTCCCCAAGCTTAACACTGATAATATCACCAGGAACAAGAATGGAGGCATCCTCCTCAATCCACCTTTCATCACGAAGGACCTGAAATAATTCAGTAAAGAAGATATGAACAAACAAGACCAAAAATTTAACTGGACGTAAATATTATAATAATTAACTCTAGTGCTCATCCAAATGCAAAAGCTATCAATGACCCATAAACACCCACTAGCAGCAAAAATTTGCATAGCATATAAGAGGCACAGGAAGTGTTTCCATCCATACCTTGGCTTTGGGAGCAAGACGAGCCATAAGAGCAGCAGCAGCATTACCAGCATTGTTCTCCTCTATAAAACTTATAGTAGAATTGATAAGAAGCAAAGTAATAATTCCAACAAAATCTTGCCAGTCAGGCGGTTTTCCCTGCAAAATTAAAGAGGTATGAGACATACACACCAAAACAGATACTCGAACGAAAGAAAAAATAAAAGGAGGCCTTAAATCAATCTTTCTGTTGCCAAGAAAATCAAGAAAATATCTGAAAACATTTCTTTTTCTGTTCATTTGGAGACCCCTGAGCCAGGACTATACAGTGGGAGGTAGGCTTCCACTCGGTAAATCCCAACCCAAAATTAATTATTATTCCTTACAAAACAGAGTTGCGATCTCTGGAATTTGATGCCAGTGCCTGTTTTGCACTTAAAAGTAATTGACTTGAGACATTGAACCGCTAAGACAACGGTTCACGACAATAGGAGAAGCGTTTCAAAATCAAAGTGAAGCTAACACAAGCTATTTCCTTTGCGTTTTTCATTGTCCAGGAACAAGGGAACTTAAAACTCGCAAAGTCTTAATCTTTTTCTTTTTGCTCTGTGTATGTGGTTTTGGTTGCAGAGATTTCTCAACAAGAAAGACAACGAAATTCACAATTTGAAACAAAAAAGAAAAAGAGAGAGAAATCTCACTCCTCCATTAGCAAGAGCAATAGCCATGATAGCTGCTGCCTCCATCACCCATGAAAGAGGGTTCCACATAAAACCCAAAAACTTCAAAAACTTACTCTCCTGCAAAACACAAAACCAAACCAAAAAAGTAAGTAACAATCATCTGCAAGACCAAACATAAAGAAACAATCAAACTTTTCTTCATATATTATATAAAATTAAACGGAAAACAATCTCCGAAAAAATTTCTATAAAACCATTGTTACAATATTTTGAATATCACATAAATTCCCTGAAAAAGCTGGCCACTGAAAACAGATAACAGTATAAATATTCTTGAACCTGCTTTTCCTCAAGCTTATTGTATCCAAAAATCGTGAGCCTCTGCTCTGCAGCCTCTGTTGTGAGACCATTTGAATTACACCTCAAAGTTTGAAAAACCTCTTCAATTGGCACATTCTCCTGCAGACAAAACTCCAAATTCAAACCCAAACCATACAAAACCAGAAAGCAAAAACACCAAAACAACAAACTTTTAATTCTAAAAACATAAAAAAAAAAAAAAAAAAAAAAAACTCCAAATTCCAAACCCAAAACCATACAAAACAGAAAGCAAACACCAAAAACACATAACTTTTAATTCTAAATAACATAAAAAAAAAAAAAAAATAAAAAAAAAAAAAAAAAAAAAAAAAGTAAACTTTTATCATCAAGTAGCAAAAACAGAGATATAGGTTTAGTTGCTCTGTTTTTCCTTCTTTTTTTAATTTTCAAATTTTCCGTACCAAATCCACAACTTCCTTCAACACAGCCTCCAAAGTTTCAGCCTTTTCAACCATCTCAATCTAATTTTCAGAGAACTCTGCAAAACAAGTAAATACTTTAAGACAAAGAAAAGACAACGAAATTAGAAACATCAAATATCAAGAAATAAGAAGCAGAGTACTCTGTTTTCTCTCTCTTCTGTGTATCATGTTTCCCTTACCTATTTCTTTGTCTCTCTATTTCTTTGTCTCACTCTAGAATCTTGGGGTGGCAGCTTTTGAAGGCACAATTATTACTTTGTTGTTGCGGATAAACAGCTCAAAGTAGATCATGTCATGTACTTGGCGGGTACAATCTGCTCCTCTCTTCTATTATATTTCTCCACATTATTTTTGTTGCAAATTGTTTATTTATTTTTTTTTTTTTTTAAATTTAATTAACAACAGGTGAAATGAAAGTAGTTGAATGTTTTGATTGGGGCACTTCAACTAATTCCAAAAAACAAAAGATTGGGGCACTTCCCCTATCACCTTGACAATTCTGCCCTTTTTCCTCTTTCTATAATTTGTTAGTTTTTCCAAAATTTTCTAATTAACTTTATAATATTTTTAATGGAAAAATGCATAAATTTCAGTTATAATTGGCATAAAAAATTTTGTGACACTTTCAATTTTTATTTTGATCAATAGAATACTTCAAAATTTTACTTATTACACATTTCAATTTATAAAAGTTCACATATTAACTACTTCAATTTGTAAAATTATTTTATTAAATGCTCCAATTTATAAAATTAAATTTATTAAGCACTTCAATAGATAAAAATGTGAAAATTATTATTTCGAAAGCTGTATTAACCACAAATCAAATTAATATTTTACATATAAAAGTTAAAACACCCAAAAATTATTATTACTAGTATGAATAAGTGCATATTATTACGCAAATTTGCAAATTTAAAAGCATAATGGATTTCTTGCAAAATTTAAAGTGTCACAAAATTATTTTTCGATAAAAAACAAAATGAATTTATGCATTTAGCCATTTTTAATAATTTAAGCAAGAACTATAGAATTATGTGCATAATTTACAAGTTGTACAGCAAAACACACATATATTGAGAATTATAATTTATTAATAAGAAAATATCATAACCAAAGATATTGTGATCTAATAGTTCAAGTACATTAGGCTCTATTCTAGCGATCACATGTTTAAGTAATTGAGTCGGCATCTTGAAGAAGATTTTTAATATAATCGCTCCTCGGTCAAAAAAAGATTAATCTTTCATCCAATCATTAAATAGAGGTATCAAAAAATAATAATGTATCATAATAATATATATTAGAATTACTTACTATCAGTTAATTAACTTTAATGGAGATAACTCAATGGCAAAGAGTACATGTAAAGTTGATTACCATAACTTAGGTCATGGGTTTTGATTTTTCGCAACGCAAAATCCCTCCAGTCTAATCCCTTTGCCTCCGAAGTTAAGCAGAGAATAGTTTATTCTTTTAGATAATAAAATTAAAATTTTTAAAAAATAATATTATATCTTTTTCGCTTACTTTATACGAGGAACATAGATCGAGGATTCACATTTGTAAAAGAAAATCTAAAAATTTTCAACCAAATAAAATCAAATAGCATATCTTTAGATATCAACAAATCCTCACAAGGAAGAAACTAAATACTCATAAAAAAAGAGATAAAAAAAATGCATTCTAAAAAAAAATGTGTATTATGGAAAACCATATTTAAATTTATTAAAAACAAAATAAAGGAGTGAAAAGTGGGGGCTATCATTCATTAATAACAACTCCAAATTAAAAATTAGGTTAGACGACTAGAACAAGAAGAAAAAAGAAAGAAAAAAGAAAGAAAAAAAGAAGTTATATATATTGATTACCAATATTGTTAAATGTAAAATTTTAATTTATTTATTTTATTAAAAATATTTATATTAATTTTTAATAGTTAATAAAAAATATTAATTTTTAGAGGAAGAATAATAATATCTTATATAATCAAATTCACAAATTTTCCTAACATATAGAACATGAATTTTTAATTAAATTTTATTTACTATTATACTATTAATTTAATCATAATAAAGACGAAAGTATATATAAAGATAAAACTTGAGATTTTTCAATTTATTTTTAATCTAGCTTTCATTTGTAAGCTAATAATTTTAAGATGATTATACTATAAGTAAAACAAATCTCATTAACTAATAATTTTTTTAATCTTGCTAATAAAGAAAATATGTTTCTCATTTCTTTTTCCAAATAAAAAAAAAAAAAAGCAATAAAGAAAGCAAAGCACAAATTGGGTAAAGAAAAAAAAAAAGAAAAAAAGAAAAAGAAAGAAAGGAAGAAAGCAAAGCAAACCAGAAATATTTTCTCACCTTACCTAACTTTTGATTATTATGAATATGGTCAAGTTAGGACAACAAAAAAAAAATTATTCTCTCTCATAACCGTTTCTCTTTTTCTTGATTATAATAATTATTAATTTGAATAATATCCAATGTGATTAGTTTAATTTGGACGATATGGTTTGATTTATTTATTTTTTTTATACATAAATTTTTGGAACATAGACTTATGAGGTAATCCCACTTCTTATTTAGATATTATATTCTTATTTATATTTTGGAAAAATTAATGTTTAGTTCCTGTGGTTTGATAACTTAACTATTTTGTCTTTATATTTTCAAAAATGTATTATTTAATCGCTATAGTTCATAATAGTTGAATAATTAGTCTTTTGTGTGAAAAATTACACTTTCTATTGTTAAGTGTCAATGGAAAAGATCAAAATATTCTTATTTCTATTTTTGTTGTATATTTTATGATAAAAGCTTTTCTTTTCTAAAAAATAATTTTTTAATAAGATAAATAATATTTTGCTTTTAGTATATATTATTTTTTTAAAAAATAATAATTAATTATTCATATTATTAAAAACATTACATAAAAGATGCAATAGAAATGGAATAAAAGAGTATTTTTAGTCTTTTAATTTAAAGTTTAGTCAAAAAAATATAAATTTTGAAACCAATGATTTATTAATCCAATGGGAGCAAACCATGAAGACACTTAATATGGGGTCTGTTCAGTAAATTTAGTTGTTTTAGTAGTTGTTAGCTGTTTTAATAATTGTCAGCTGTTTTACTAGTGGTTAGCCTGAAATATTAACTGTTAGTGGTTAACGATTATATAACGGTTTAGAATAAAAGTGTTTGGTACAAATAACTGTTTGATTAGCTGTTTAATATAAAATGACAAAAAAGGTATGAAAGCAAGAAACAAAGTAAAAAACAAGTGATGCGTATAAATGTAATAAAGAAATTGTAAAACGCTAAACGTTAGTAAAAATAACGTTTCATAAAATAATGTCTCAAATTCTAAACGCTAACGTAAATATTGATATTGTATTACCGAATGTTATAATTAATTAAGATAGTGTTATCAAAATACTAAACACTACCTTAAACACTGCCGCCGAACAAGTCCATTATTTTAAAAGAGCAAATATTAAATAGTAAATATCAAATCGTTAATAATTTATCATTATATTTTTGTCAACTTAGCTCGATTTTGTTAGTATATAAATGTAACACCCCTTCCCGGTTCACCCGTAAACCCGAATGAACCGAGTCGAGATGCTACAAACTGGTTGACTGTATGGTCTGACATGCTGAAAACATACTACTGGTATGTTGAATTAATAACATGCTGGTACTGTTTCCAACAAATAATGTAATTTATATTTTACAAACATGATACAAGTTTACAAAATTCGAAAATGGGCATACTTGCTATTCATTATGCTGTATGACTTATGCACTTTTAGTCACATCATATAAATTACGATTAATAACATCTCATGACTGTATGACTCTTTACAGAAGCAATAATTAAACGTGTAAGCATATACAACAATATACGTTCATGATCTTACCTGATGTTCTTTATGTTGTATGAATTCTGCAACTCTGATTAAACTCAGTGAATATTACAATGAATAATGAAACATAGAAACATATAAGCACATACATATGTAGAAATAAACATGTACTTACATATGGAATGTAAGCACACAGATCATGATATTTTCATTTTATCTTGATAATCTTTCTTGCTGTATAGTAGACTGTATGATTCATGAAATGTTATGTCAAGATATCTGTATGGCTCCATAAGGTCATAGTGAAACCGAAGTGATAAGATAAACTGTATGAAACTGGATGAAATTGTATGCCATAGGCCCCAAACCGGATTCGCCTATGCCAATATTGTCCGTTTTGGTGCCCCTAACCGGATTTGCACCGCACGGTTTAATCATATCCACTCAACAGCCGGAGTTCCAAACTGTATGGGCGAGGATTCTGCTATCTATGTCGCGACATAAGCCTTATCTACATTGGTTTTCTACCCAACCTCAATGGAAAGCTTCATAATTAGCATTTCAACAAATGTAACACCATAGCACATAAATGGTTTCTGCAACTTCATAGTTCATTTTTTCCTTTATTGTTGATTTCCACATATAAATGCTACATGTTGTTTGAATTCCATTTGTTCTTATGTTGTATTTTGTTGTTAAAATGATTGATGCATCATGTTGAGCAAAGAAATGTGATTACATAGCAATTGAAAGGGCCAAAAGAGCAGGATCACAAAGCATCAGTCGCGAGCGCGACATTCCAAGTCGCGAGTGCGAGATGCTTCCCAGAGAGAAGTCGCGAGCGCGTCTTCAAACCTCGCGAGCGCAAGAAATGCATTTGAGAGTCAGAGGGTTTTCTGGCTCAAGTCGCGACCGCGCAGCACACGTCGCGAGCGCGCTTGTGTGATTCGCGAGCGCGAGATGCGCACACTGAGAGTCAGAGAGCTTCTGGCCAAAGTTGCGACCGTGCATGTGATCCTCGCGAGCGCGAGTTGTGCAATTGAGAGTCAGAGAGCTACCTGACTCAAGTCGCGAGCGCGCAATAGGAAATCGCGACGGAGCGCGACTTGCTTCCAGTATGCGCATCGCCGCGACGTGATTTCATGTTGCAGTCCTGTGTTCTTTTGGCATAACTCTCAATATTTACAACTTCAAAAGTGAACTGATTTCAAAAGGCCCATGTAAAGCTACCAACAGAAAGAAACAAATAATCTATCTATGGACAATTACATAATTCCATCATTTCATATGGAGTTCAAAATCAAGATTGAGTTGCACTGGTATCATTTTCCACGCAACTCTGTTTTCCGTTCATATATTTCATCCCCCTGTTTCACATTCTTCCAGTACTTCCAACCAACAACAAGCAACATATATTCTTCATGGGTGCAACACTCCACCACAATTTTTCATGCAAAGAA